TATTAGTACTGATTTTGTGATGCGATATTGTCCTTTCTATGAATTTTTTTTTTCAATTTTTTTATTTTAATAAGCAAAAGAGAACAAAACTTTATTGATAGAAATTAGCTTATAATAAGATACTACATCAATAAAGATAAAAATCATGAGTGCAAAAACTGAATCATAGTTAGACAACACGATCTCAACTAGATTAGTATCGGGAAGTAAACCTAATCATATATAAGTACCACACCAAATTTTTATTTATTTATTTATTTGTTTTATTAGCGGAAGAGAGAACTTTATTGATGAAATACAATTGAATAAACAAGATACATTAATAAAGATAAGTAGTACAAAAAGTATAAAAGCAATACTAAACGATTTCAATTAAGTTGGCATCGAAAAAAAAAAGTCTAATCATTTGCTAGCACCACACTTAAAATTGGTGAGGAACCAACCAAACACCCCAATAATAGACAAAGATCAACACTGAAACTATGCAAACAATCCAACACTGAAACTATGCCCAAAACCCTGGTCCACACAGGACAAAGCAGAGCACATCAGAGCCGAAGCCAGCAGCAGTCACCATAAACCAGCAGCCTAAAACTCAGATGCTTCCTCAGCTGCTTCCAAAACCAGCACCAGCCGCCTTATCTGCTTGAACCATCACCCAATGCATCTCCTGACCTGTTGAAAATTTGACACAATCTGATAAATAGAATAAGAATCCCCAATAGCTTGTGACTTCAAATAGCCACTTTTACTTTGATGAGGTCACATAAAACCAGTGAGTTTGGTTGGAGATCATTAAAAATGTATAGTTTTTCAAGTTATTTCAAACAATTTATGTGTTGAGATTAATTATGATGTAACAGGACATAGCAGTCTAACTTGAACAATTCAGTTATGAATGAGTCAAAGGATTCAAACCTATCACAACCCACAAAGCTAAAAACATCAACCTAATTAAAATGCTTAATTTCCAAACATCATGTTTCTATTGCACGGTTGGAATGACTCACCCATTGAACCTCATTTCGTTTTGGATCTAAATCTGTAACACTTTATTACGACCGGTGAACTATTAAAAAAAACTAGAATATTACAAATTTAGAATTATTTATCCAGAATTTAACCAGAAATGACAATCAATGATTCAAATTTATTTTACTCGTGAACTCTACATTTTATTAGTTTAATTCTCACCGCACATACCTATACTGTGTGAATTCTGGGCCCTAATTCTAGAATCCCTGACTTTTCTATAAAAAAAAAAAGATAGAGAAGAACAAAATGCTAGTATTGTAAATTACAAACACTCAGTAAAACATATCAATAGTCTCTGTGTTTTATTTCTTGTGTTATGTTAGTCCATATAATATCAATCAACTCGGATTTGGTATTTAATTGTAGATTTTGTATTAATTTGATCCAATTATAACACCAATTAGGGTTTTAGAAAGAAAATGGTTGAAGAGTTAGTTAAAATTAACTCACGTGACACGTGTCGCTCATGTGTGCATTTTTCATTTAAAAAAAAAATTCTAACAATTTAACCAATGAACCAAATTAAGTCAAAATCATAAATTCAAGTCAAAATCAAGTCAATTAAAATTATAAATATTAAAATAACACAATGATCGAAATATAGGGACTACTAACATAATTTACCTAATAAATTTTGCCAACGAGTTTATGGTCCAACATCATCTCCCTGCCTCTCATGTACAAGAAGAGGTTGAGAGTTCGATTCTGACTAGAGGCAATGTTGTGTGGCAGTAATTATTTAGCTTGTATATATATAATTTGAATAAGCTTCCATCCATATCTCATATTTCCTTACTTCTTCATACTCTTTTTATGGGTTTTAATTATGACCTGTACTAATGATCTGAACCGTTTATCTTATAGGTCCTGTAATGAAGGTCATCATCCATGCTAAAAAATCAACTTCATTAGAAAATTATAAATACAAAAATAAATCTTATTTTATTTTATAAAATGAATAGTAAATATAATTAAATTTAAATTATCTATTTTATAAAACAAAATGCAATTTGTTCCTATATTTATAGTTGTCCGATAAAACTAATTTTTTGCACAGATAGCCTTCATAGTGGGGCGTACGAGATAGACGGTTCGGATCATCAGTATAAATTCGAATTAAAACTCATAAAAAGAGTATAAAGAGATGAGATATGGAGGAGATTATCCCGTACAATTTGTTATCGCCACTTAGTTGCTCCCAACTCTTACATTCTTCTTCTTTTCTTTTCTTTTCTTTTTTTATTAGTAAAACAAAAATTTTGTTGATAAAAATCTAATGTCTACCATTATTACAGTTCCACTATGGTAAAAAATTATTACAAGAGATACAAAGATAATTGTCTCCTTTCAACTATATATACATAGAATTAAGATAATATGTCACAAATATGAAAATACCAAAAATGCCCTTATCATGATCTACATTATCGCAACCATCCACATCTTTTCAATAGATTATAAAAAATGGTATTCCTTTATCGGCAAAAGAAAAATTTTATTGATGAAAACGAATACAAACATCAGATTAAAAATGGTGTTCTAATGAACAGACATATCAACCAGTTACAATTAGAAACAGATTTCACACCCACCCTTGGTGATGTCTTGTTTACTTGATCAATGGTGATGTTAATGGATAAGCTATTTTAAGCATTTTTATTTACAAAGACAAGTAGTGTGTTAAATTGATTTCGTGGGGTATAGAATATCAGTCAGTTAAGAAATCAATTTTTTTTTAAAATTTTTTTAATTTTTTATATAAAAAAACATTACCATAAAACAAAATCTTTGAAAAACGTTTGTAATTTGACTAGCCATCTGCATGGAAAACACATATATGTATGGAAACACAGATGGGTTACCCAAATATTGGGTGATGTTGCCGTACTCACACAGCAATTTGATTAACCCTTTACACTAGCATACCTTAATTTTAACTGTCACTCTCTCTCACCCCCACAAAACACTTATATATACTGTAAACTTAACTTATGCTTCAAAAAATTGATAGAAAAGTTGTTTCCCAACTCAAGTGAATCACCCTTTTTGAGCAGATATATGTGTATATATTTATATATTGTACGTGTGTCCGCATCCACGCAGAGGGAAAGATTGAGTACATATTGATCCTATGAGATGCTTTAAAAAATTGAAAGATTAATTGTTTTCCCAACTCAAGTGAATCACCCTTTTTGGCATATATATTGTACAACCTCTCTGCACCCAGTACATATTGATTCTTCATAGACCTTACATTAGCTAGAGTCTCGTGCATTAACGCTGTCATTCATTTATGACCAGAATGAATTAATTTGAGATGGCTTCTTGTGTCTTGTTTGTAATTAAAAAATGCAGCAGACACACTCAAATATAAGCTTTTCACTACATGTCGTTAAGGATAACATAAATTTCAGTTTATTGAGAATGGCTGACGGGAGTAATGATATATAAATAAAAAATATATACAAAATAATGTGTTGAGTTGCAGGGCTATCGCTTTAAAATCTTAAATTCATCATCAGTGGCGGAGCCAGAAAACTAAATCAGAAAGGGCATTTATTGATTACAACTTTAATTTTTTTTTTCCATAACCAATAATAAGAAGATAATAATAATTTTTGAATTAATATTAAGCATAAAAATTTAAATAAATTATTTCAAAAGTATTCCACATAAAATTTTACAATTAATTTCGAGTAAAATCGAAAAAAAAGTATTGCGTGTAACTAGTGTATCATTGACAATATAAAAAACTCATATATTTAAGTTTTAAAATAAATTATATAATGGTAAGATAAATCAAATTTTTACAAAATTTGAGTAAAAATTTCATATAATAGTGATATCACGTCATTATTAATATATGATATCACTAATCAATAGTAAAACAACATATGAATGATGAAATTTACATGTAAATATAACTGACACTCTAATAATTTTTACATATATATAGTGAAATTAATTATATTTACATAGCAATAATGATGGATATTACCTTTATATTAAGATTTTTTCACAAAATTTTCATACATAAAAATATAATTTGTTGTAGCCACTTCATTTTCAATAAAACAATAAATTTAAAAATACCCTTGACATTTTATTCTAAATATTATTTTTATTTAAAATTTTATTTATATGCATAAAATAAAAAAATAAAAATAATAAAAAATAAAAAATAAAAAAACGAATAGGAGAGGCATGTGAACCCCCTGGTCACCATGCGACTCCGCCATTGTCCGTCACCATACATTTGATTTACGAAAAAACTACTACCATGTCATTCTGGTAAGTAATTCTATCAATCAATAAATAAATAAATCTGGAACCTGACTCATTTTTGCAAAATGAAAGAGAAGAAATTCTGGAAGCAAATCTCAAATTCCATTAATTATTACATTGAACATATAAGGAAATGAAAGGCAGTAGTGCCTATGACTACTATGAAGCTATTAGGTTACAATGCTAAAAGCAATCAATTATAATCAATAGTATTACTGCCTGAAAATCAATGTCGGTACATATTTTAACAGAAATTATAACAACAATTTTACTTTGTGTATAAAATTCAGATTGTGATCCTCCCCCATTATATTGTCATAATAAAATGGTCATAAAATAATCATATGAGCCTATCTTTATTTAAAGTTGAGAAAAAAAGTTAATGTATTTTTACACATATAATAAAGAGAATCTGAACCCACAAAATTCAAGCCTTTGGCTATGGCAATATCATACTTGTTGGGAATTAAAAACCCAAATTGGTGTGTAATAAATAACAAGGAAGCTTCTTCAACTAGGAGGGATGTCCCATTTAGTAACTCAATAACTTGACTTGATTTAACGTAGTACCATGGGTGAAAATGTAGAGAGAGAGAGAAGGGTAAGGAGAGAGATAAAATAATCAAAAATAGGTGGGAATTGATAGAGAGGTGTTCATGGGCCAACAGCAAAAACAAGAAAGGGTAAAAAAAAGAAAAAAAAAGGCTCTCCCAAGTTCTCAACTCTAAAATGTGTTGTGTAGTGTCGTGTAAAACCAACAAAAGTGACTGCCCATCCACAACCCTAAACCAAACCAACCCACTTTCTCTCTTATTTCTGTTGCCATTTCTTCTCCTCCTCCTTTAAAATCTTCCTCTCTTCTTCTCTCTCCTCCTATTTGATGTTAAAGACCTACACCCTCATTTCATCATCAATAAATCTTTCTTTGCCGATCAAAAAGAAAAAAAAAAAACCGTTGTTTAGCAGCCTGCCATGGATGAAAGTACTGGTGGTGGTGGGTCTAGCGATGATGCGAGAACTTGTCCCCGTGGTCACTGGCGACCTGCCGAGGATGAAAAACTCCGGCAGCTAGTCGAACAGTACGGTCCTCAGAACTGGAACTCAATTGCTGACAAGCTCCAAGGCCGATCAGGTACGAAACTCTCTTTGTTTGTTTTTCTCTCTCCGATTCGTGGATCATTCGAGATCTAGGATTCAAAGTTTAGGCTTGAATATTACGGTATGCTTGTCAACTTAGTAGGAATTAGTCCGATCAATATTTTTCTTTAATCTTTATTGTCTCAAGGTATTATTTTATTTTGTGTTTTAAAAATTCTCTTTTGCTTTGATAAATAAATAAAAAAAAATTGTGGATTAAGTAGAGCATCATTTCAACTTCAAATTAGAAAAAAGATAATCTTTCTATAAGTATATATATCTACCTATTTGGATTTTATTTTCAAATTATGTGTCAATCTAATTGAGATATGGATTTCAGCTAAACTTGTGTTACCCCATTTTTATTATCTGTGTATATTATTCTATTTTGAGTTAGCAAAAACCCAAAATATTTTCTATGCACTAAGTAAATTTTTTGTTTTTGATGGGTTAATTTCTTTTAATTAACTCAATAAAAAGAGTATATAAAGATAATACGAGCTATGAAGAGGCTGCATTAAAAGCACGTATTCCAAGTTCGAACTAAGTAGAGCGTCATTTCTTTTCTTTTTGTTTTCTTCTTCTTTTGTTATCAGAAAAATAGACTTTATTGATGAAAATTAGTGATAGAAAGATAATAACCTCACAAACTTAGAAAAAGTTGAATACATATATGTGCGCATATATATATGTCTTCTTATCTACGTAGTTTAAGCTATGAGTTTTGATAGTTTTCATTCATTGTATATACAGGGAAGAGTTGCAGATTGAGGTGGTTCAATCAACTTGACCCAAGAATCAACAGAAGACCATTTACAGAAGAAGAAGAAGATAGGCTTCTTGCAGCTCATCGCATCCATGGAAACAAGTGGGCATTGATATCCAGGCTCTTCCCTGGTAGAACCGACAACGCTGTGAAGAATCATTGGCATGTTATCATGGCAAGAAAGCAAAGAGAACAATCCAAGCTATGTGGTACTAAAAGAAGTTACCAAGATGCCATTAATGGTGGTGATGACTCCTCCAACACTCTCTCTTATGGTTTTCGACGAAGGAATTCAAAAACCCAACAAGAGGATTATAGCTCGAAAACCCGGTTTGAGAGTTGCCAATTCTTTGAATTCCAAACACCAAACAAAGAGAGAATTTTCACTGTTTTGCCTAACTTGCCTCCAAGTTCATCTTCATCCCCTTCTTGGAATTTTACTAGACCAACTATTTCGGCGGCAAACAATTCAGGGGATTTATTTGGAAGAGAAGGTAGAGATTTCTTTAACCCTAGTTCAAATTATTGCACCACAGAGAGCTCAAATAATACCTCAGAACAAGCTCTTCGCCGGTACTATCTCAATCCCTCTGCTTGCCGGGATTTTAGTCCATTCGGATTCCCAAACTACAAGAGGGTTGTTCCAAGTTCATTTGGGTACTCTAAACTTGGAGATGGTAATGGAACACATGGAATGTTCAAGAAAGAGTTGGTTAGGTTTGGTGAAAATTCACACCCATTTGAAAAGAAGAGAGAGACTATTGATGAGCACGAAAATGGAGATAAAAATTCCATCAAGCAGAAGGATGTTCCCTTCATAGATTTTCTTGGTGTGGGAATCTCTTCTTGACCACCAAAAATCTTTTAATTTTATTTTTACCTATATATAATATATATTAATTAGGTTTTAAATATTGTCCGATACTTAGGAATTTTGGACCTTTGATATTGATATTCATCGTATATATCAGCTAATACTGTCTCATTTCGGTTGATATATAATCGTGTCGCTGATATCAATACATCCTGATACCGTTATTTAAAACCATGATATAGATGATAATTTTAGTTTCACAACTGAATTTTCTTGTGCATGTCAATGGCATGCAAATATCAATCTTTTTAATTTAAATCTACTGATGGGTTTAGCTGATATTATATATAATCTGTGATTTGAAAATATTTTCTGTATGCAAAGAATATATAGTTTGAACTATATCTTTTGCTTTCTAAATTAGAGATTGGAAAAGGTCCAATTTTTTTTTTGTTTTCCACTTTTATGGATGATCAAATTTTGTAATTTTTTTTATTTTTTTATTTTTTAACGTTTGTTGTCCCATGTTAATGAATGTACATCAAACTTCATTACCTTGTGAGAAATTTTGGGGAACAATGGAAATTACATGCTGGAAGAATGAGTTTTGTAGTTTCTTGATTCAGTAATCTTCTTGATGGTGCAAGGAATGTCCATGTGATGGATAAATTCAATTTAATTATGATACCTCTTTCAATAAGATGGCAATTTATGGGACTTGCATCTTTTCATATCTATCCAAATGCTAGTTCGTGCCATTCAGATATTAATTTGCATCTAAATTGGGGTGAAAATTATTTAAAAAATAGATGAAACTATTAAAATAAATAAATTTGAACTAAAAATGTTTTGAAAATTGTAAAAATTGTACCTTGTTCTTTCTCCTCCTCCTCCTCCTCCTCCTTTTTATTTTTTATTTATTTCTTTATTTTTTGTCTCAGCCATTTGTTTAAATTTGTTCAAACGAAAACATGTCCTTCAAAGAGCTGTTGCTTGAAGTTATTTTGGTTGGAAAATCTTGAAAAGAAATGGCATTTTTGTGTGAGCTCCTTTGATTAAGGACAAGGGTAATTGTGCCACATACATTTTGTGTTTTCAAATTTCTACCCATTTATTTCAAAAATTCAAATTCAAGTTGAGAGAGTAATTTTAGGGGTGAGCATGGTTCTGATTGGACCGGATTGGGATAAAATCAGGACCAATCCGTTATCTACGGTTCCTGAAAAATCGGAACCAATCCGATCCGTTTAAATCTTGGAACCAATCCGAACCAATCCATTTCAACACGGATTGGATCGGTTTAGGACCACGGATTCACATAATTAAATAACAAAAAAATATATATAACACTCTTAATGCAGGAATGGCTTATCCATGGACACCAAAAATGTCTTTTTCTGAGATGATGATAGATGATGCTCAAACTTCTAGGGAGGAGAGATGCTTCCGACTGTGGATTAACAGTCTTGGAGTTGATTCATATGTCAATAATATGTTTGAGGATGTCAGAACAGGCTGAGGTTACAATTTCCTTGCCCTATTTTTGAGTGCTTATTAATTTTGTTTGATTTTTATCCCTATACTATGGGGGAGGATGTATAATAAAAATATAGACTATTTGTATACGGTCCGGATCGGTTCCAATCCGGAACTGTGGGGTTCAATCCGGAACCAATCCGTGGACTACGGATTTTTAATTCTTCAATCCGGAACAGAACAACGGATTCAAAAAACCAATCCAAACCTATTGGATTGGACTGGACTGGATCGGATTACGAATTTTATAGATTTCTTGCTCAGCCCTAAGTAATTTGTGTTATGAAATTGGACCGAACTAGGTAGCAGTGCCTATGGAACTTGGGTCGCGCAGTAGGCTGAGAAAAAAGCTCAGGTAGCTCGGTCCTGGGCTGATTGAATGATAGGCCGGTTAGTGAGTTAGGCCCAACTGATAGAAGATGGTCATATGAAGAAGGCCAAGCTAACTTAGCTCGATGCAATCCATTTGATGGTCAAGGACTGCACGGTTTGGTCAGTGGCAGATCAGCGTAATGTAGTTTGGTCGGATATTTATAGCCGAACATAGTGTTGTTGCCATATCACTTGGCATGCAGTGAGGAGGATGTTTTAAGAATAAGAATTATTCTTTAATAATGTGACTCCTAGGAGGACTCTGCTAAGGAGAGGTAAAATTCTATTAGAATTGTGCTACGCGGAATCTATAAAAGTTCATGACAAAACTTATTCCTAGATATTGCAATTCTGACTCTTGAATACATAGAGCTTTTTGTTTATTGTCTATTTGCTAACTTAAGCATCGGAGGGGTTTTCGACACACACCCGTGGACTAGTTCACGTTTGTGTTCTCAAATGATAAGACAATAATGTTTGGAAGAGCGCAAATTTGATCAACATATATGAGAAGGATTATTTCATAGCAGTACACAATTGATTTTTAAGTGTTTTGGGACATGGAACGTACATTCACGCCTTACAAACCCAATTTGTAATGAAATTCCAAATTTTCTATTTGGTTCCTATGTCTTCTGGGAAGATGAATATATCATGAGCATTAATATTCCACATATTTCAATTTACTATGAAAGAGAAGTTGAACAATTTTGTGTTCTTTCGAAATCATCAACTCTTGAAGTTTGGACAATCTCCTGAAAATACATGTCACTCTCAAATCAATGGAGTCGCCAAACTACTTATTATATCTAGAGAGATTCATGTCACTATCTTATAATTGTATATTGATTGAAGATTATTAAATTGTATGTTCTAATAGACAGACAAATTGCTTTTAATGAGTCTTGTTAATATGATCTTAAAATGTTCATATATCTATATATATATATATATATTATACACTTTTATGCAAGTTATACACTAATTTAAATTTTTTACGATAATAAAATCATTTATTTTTATATCTCGAAACTTCAATAATTGGAGTGTCACTATGAAAGAAAAACCTATAACAAAAAGTGACTTGTGAATTATGAGGTTATTAATAACAAACTTTGTACTATTACAAGATTTTAAATATCTATCGATAGATGATCTATCAGTTTTTATCTTAATACATTTTGGGTATCTGTGCTTACCATACAATGTATTCATTTACAAGACTATTTGTTGCAACTTATTTAAATTATTTATAATTTTTTTATTTTTTTTATTTTGAGAGTGTGTACCAAATAAACTAATTTTTAAAAATTAAGTAAAAGATACTTTTAACTTCTATTTTTTACTTACTAATTTTTAATTTATAATAAATAACACCTATTTATCACTAAAATTGACCATATATTGAAACTGATTCTCCTTACCACGCAATGTAATCATTCTTACCAATTTTTTTTGGGTGATATCTATAACCACTAGTGTACAAGGAGGAAATAATTCTCCTCGTATAATCCTGTTGACCAAGTCCACGCTCCTCCGTACGACGTCGCTTTGTCACCTGAAAACACAAACGTGAGCTAGCCGGCGGGTGTGTGCCGGAAACCTCTCCGATGCCTAAGTCAGAAAACTTGACAAATAGACAAGGCTCTAAGTTTTCAGAAAGATTGTGTTCAATTGCCTCCTCCAAGGTGATGCTTGTGAGCTTTTATAAGTTTCCCGTGGCACAATCCTAGTAGGACTTGTATTTCTCTATGCAGAGTCCTTCTAGGATTCATACTCCAAAGGATAATGCTTATCCTTTTACACCCTCCCCCACTGCTTAAACCAAGTGGGATGGTTTTCTCCATAGCCGAACTACCACACGACCGAAATAACACTGGCTATGCTGAGCCACAGAGAAGGCCGAACTATCCTTAGCTCGGTCTTCTCTTCTAACTCATTACTTCGGCTGCCCTTGTTCAACCTTGGTGCGTTTAGATCAAACTTCCAAGTAGCAAGTTCTGACTGACCTAACCAGAGTATGTCACGACCGGACTAACTCTGAGACCGGACTAACCGCAAGTTGCCTAAAGACCGGAGTAGTTTTACTCTTCCTTGGGCCGAAGTAAATATCTCTTCTTGAGCCGGAGTAATTTCACCTCCTTGGGCCGAAATAACTTTGTCTTCTCAAGGCCGGAGTAACTTTGCGCTTCTGGGCCGGAGTATCTATTGCGGCTTTCTCACTTAGTCCTTCGCGTTTTGGGCCTCAATGCCCAACTCGCGACTCGGCCCAATTTTTTCCAAAAATTACCCTCTCAACTAGTTTTGTAACATAATTGCATCCCATTGCAAAAGTCTACATTATTGTCTGCATAGCAGACCGACTTCAGGTATTTCCTTTACAAAAGTCTCAAATGTTGTACTTGAATAATAGATTTTGATAAAAATTTAAAAAAAAAAGAGAGGGAAATAAAAAATAAAAAAAATTAAGCTTATGTTTCTTTCACATTGTCCTTTGATAATGGATTTGGATAGAAATTTAGAAAGTGAAAGAAAAATAGAAAAAACAAATGGAGGAGGATTCCTTCGAGTCCATCGAGTCCACTGGAGGGGCTGTTTGGGTCTGTAGGACCCATCACATGTTTCGTTTCGATGATTCAAACTGTTCATTTTGTCAGGTACTCAGTGTATTTCATCCGTAAAAAAAAAAAAAAATTAAGTCGATCCGATAACTGCAACTTATTTAATTTATTATTTTTGTTAAAAAAAATGTATGGTTCATTTTTTAAAAACACAATTGTCATCTATTTTTTTAGTAAAAAATACGATAAATTAAACAAGTTATAGTTATCAGATTGACCTAATTTTTTTTTGTAAATGAAACACATGAAATATCTAACAAAATGAATAATTCAGATCATCAAAACAGGGCTCGTGGTGCCCAAACAGTCCCCTCCAATCTAGATTTTGGACTGAAAGAAATCTTCCTCCAAAAAAATTAAGCTTATATTTCCTTCAAATTATCCTCATATTTTATTTTTATTTTTATTTTTAATCCAAATTCATGATTCAAATAAAATGTAAAGTGCATGAAATTATTTCTACCAATATGACAATATTAATCCCATGTAACAGTTTTTTTCAGTTTAAGCACAGTATTTGTCAGTTTGAGCACAAAAAACCTTGTGACAGTTTTTTTCTTCCTTCATTTTCCTCTATGGTTGACAAAAAACAATGGGTAATCGAAAACTCTCACACTTGAAATGGGTAATTTTCGTTGTATTTCAAATCAATGAAATAAGAAAATTATAAGTAGTGTATGTAAATTCATTTTTATTAAGTATTAGAAACAAATAATGACGAACTTACTTAGTATATATA